TTTTTTTTTGATCAATACCCACTACTAATTCTTCTACACTTTGTGCTAGCGGCTTCAGGGTAATTACGAAAATTTGAAAAAAAAATTCCACCTGCACATGTTGATGGTTTTTTCGGCCATTTTCGTTTATATCCGTGTTTATTGTCCCTCGATTCCTCCATCCTCTATCCGACTAACATCTGCGTCTTGAATGAATGCTTCTGAACACTCTGATGCCAATTTTTTTCCCAACGTTCGGTGATGAAGGCGTAAGAGCCAGTCTTCATCACTTTTTACCTTCTACCATATATGTTTCCGTTCCGCTCCCAATTCACCTGTGAGAGCGAGCGTTCAGTTGTCACCATCCCCTGTCAACAACTATCAATTTGCCTTTTCATCACATTTACCGTTGCAAATTTGGGTGCTTTGGTGTAGCAAGTTTCCAACAGTAGCTACGCCAACGAGAACAATGAATGTGAAGAGGAATGATAAGCTCACAGAGATTTGTTGACCTGCGTAGAGATGTAGGATTTTGTCATTATTAGCCGCTATTTTAGCGTTAGTCGGATCATGCCATGTCATCTTCATATTAATAAAAAGGATCAGGTATAGGGACGTTAATCGATCCCTTCTTAGGGTTTCGCCCACGCATGACTCCCATTTAGAATCGTACTGGCATACTAAATGCGTATGTGGCCTATGCAATGGCTCGCGGTGGCCAGACGATGTACAAGTCAGCGCTTTCATCCACCTAGACAGGTCTTGTGCCAATTAGCTGACCCCTGAATGATGGAAGGCTTGCATAGGTGGATATCGATCCGAGATTTGAACTTGTGACCACGCGTGTGTGAAGTGAACATGCTTACGAGGAACGACTCATAAGCATTTTCTCTGCTCACACTTGTGAGTACTGCTGCGTTGCTTAGTAGCTACAAATAGAATCTTTGTGCAAAGCAACTGGGTCCCCTTTGCATGGAGTAAAATATATTCCCTGATGGATTGCTCTTGGAAAATATTGCAAACATAGAGTGCAATCTAACGTTCAGAACAGATCAGTTGTCGTGCCTTGATCGACGCATCTGAATGTTTGCTCGGTTGTCATGTAACGAATTTTGTTTTGTCTTGGCGAACTACCTTTTTAGAAGCTGTTTTGCAATCGGTTTTACTCATAACTAAAATTGGCTGTATGTGAACCTACGTGGGTGGTGCGATGACGCACGTTCCCAGCAAGCATGAGATTACGAAAGTGTAGGCATGAGTCACAACAGTTGACTCGCCTTTGAGGCGAAGCCACCGATGACTTCTCCACAAAGATTCAATGAACTGTTTGTAGGCAAACACACCGTGTACCACCACAGGAATAGGGGGAGATCGACGCACTGCACGAGGCTGCTGACGTGAACAAAGAATTTCGAAGATCATATGGAGATGATTATTGCTATGTAGTTGTACCTCACACAGCTTACTTTTTTTGGTGCGATTCGACTATTAACGCATGCTTTAAGGTTCATTAAACAAGTTGCTTCGGTGGGTTTGAATGTTAGTCTCAGTTGCAGCTCTTTGTGTACCCTCTTGCAAAAGGCGCGCTTTCAATGTTTCGTTGAGTCCCCTTTTCTACACTGCCGGAATGCAGAAAAGAATATAGGTAAAGTCTTCAAACCCTCCTCTGCGCTATAGCGCTTACAAATAGTGTCACGGACTGCAGGGAAGGGCCATTCCCAACTACTCTTTCACCGATATAAGAATCGATATTGGTGAAAAACAGCTTTTGCATATTTTTACCCCTGAGGTACTGTAAACTATAACATGGATGGCTACATTGGTAAAAAAACATCGTGAAGCTAAAAACGTCGTGGAAAACCGATGCGATGTGAGTAGGGAAACGAATGAGCATGGAATCAAGCAAGCATAAGCGGGAAGTTTCGGCTCTCCCGGTGTCATTGTACTTTTTATCTTTGACTTCACACTATGGTCTCCCGTCTTATTTTATTCTCTATGCTTGCATTATTTGAGACAAAAATTCAAGTCCAGAAATGGAATGCGAAGCTTCCTAACATCTGAGCAATCAGTTAAAGTGGGAAATACCTCACTCACTTTCTCACACTTACTTGCCGCAGCCTCACAGACCGAACAATGATATCGAAGTTATCCTTGTGAGACCATCCTAGTCTGGATGCCACATGCATTTCCTTTTTTATCAATTTGTCGTTCGGTGACCTGCTTTCATTGGTAGAGAAAGAGTCCTTCAAATTACTATATTTTTGAGCATCATGTCAAAGTCTGAATAAATTATTTTCAAATGAATAAACTTGAATTTAGCCTACATCCCCTTCTCGTTTGCTTTCGAATGGTAAATTCACCAAGTTCGAATTGAAGCCTCATTCCATTCACTTTATCTTGGAAGTTCAAACTGAGAAAAAGAAAAAGAAGGTAATTCTTGTCAACTTTAAATCGCTTTAGAGTAGAGTTTTCGCTCGAATTTGTAAGCAGATGGGAACCATTGGTTTTAACTTTTATTGATCTAGTATCGCAGTTTATACTGTTTATTGTGCTCGGCATCATCATCACTTTTTAGGGGAACGCGAATCGCGTAGATACATTTGTTTGTGAAATAAAACAATTCCCTACTGCAATCAATCCTGACAGTGCAGAGTTCGAGGTCAGTCTTTATTTCGATCTTCAGTTTTGTTTTGCTGAAGGTGTATTGCCAGAGTAATCTATAGCCGTTTTTTCATTCATCAGGTTGAACTTTTTTGAAAAGTCTGGAACGTAGACTTTTGATCGTTTTCGTGGTGTATCACGTGTTATTTGTAAAACATTCTAGAAGCTTCTCTTCAAAAAGTATATAGGGGCATGTGTGCCTCTCTGGGTTTAGGCGCGATGTCACTTAATCGAAGTACTATCTTCAATGAAAGGAGCAACGGCACTGAAGCGACAGCAGCCTTACGTAACATCATTGCATTGGAGGAGGGCAATACTACATACTATAACCATTATCACCGTTCACCTCTGGTTCGCTTGCTTCGCAAAAGGAGGCACGAGCCCCGATGAAAAACTTAGGTCGGGACGCCTCTTTGACTCGAAGTGTGAGGCTCCACCGTCCTCGGCGCTGCCAAAGATGATCCGGAAGCTTCAGCAGCCTTGCGACAACGCTCTGATGTACTTAATCGTCAGCCGTTAACCGCATCCGTGCCCTCGACTACTTAAAAGTGCATAGTGCAGTGCAGATTCATTGGATCCCTAATAGTTTGAGCCATTGTACGTCGTACATATCCATATGCCAACCTTTCCTTCTCCGCTCGCATCGCTAAGGAGTTTTGAGAAAATTATGATCAGTCGTCTTGTCAAAAAAATGTAGTAGAGTCTATTCTTCTCGCGTACCTTTTCTCTGGCACTATCCGTCCACAGCCACGCTTGTCTATCAATCGTCCGTCGTCCAAGCTTTTTTGAAGCCCAGAGTGAGCAGCCTGAATCCGAGTAATGTACGCGCCCCTTTTCCTTTTATCACCTTCACTTGATTCTCGCAGGCCCACTTATTTCTTTCAACTTGTTCCTGTTCGGTAGGGTAATTTTGAGCGTGCAAAATAGGGTCTATGTTGTGCATCCCATGAGGCACAGCCTTTATTACGAGCCCTTGATGTGACCGGAGATGCGAAACCTTTTTGTGTCCTGGTTTTGCCACTACAGTAGGTCATGAGTTCAGCTTCCCAAACTTGGTAGTGTTCACGATGGTGAGGTCATGAGTCTGCGCATTCAAGGATTCTCGAACATCAGCGTTCATATCCAAACCCACTATGACTCCGTAACTGTCTTTCCTTGGGCCCACGCTCCCACTTGGGTTACCTGCGAGAACAGCGTTTAGCTATGTACTGCCGTCACATTGAAATATAGTAGTCGGTGCAATAGAAAATCAAGCTTGCAAACCAAAAAAAANAAAAAAAATCGAGAAAAATTGAAAGAAACACAACCCTAAAAAGCCCATTCAAGAAAATATCCATTGTTGACCTTACTTTATCAATCGACTGCGCCGTCGCAGGGCATTACTCATTGGCGCAGCATTACCGGTTGACGCTCTACTCTGAAACCGCCCCAATGATATAGGAAAACTCGTGATGCGAGATCGCAATCTCAGTTTGATCTTAATTTTGTGCATGTCTCTTGGATTCAAGTTGTGCAGCATTGTTACTATACTTCATTTCAGGTTTTGGAGCCAGCCAGTGGTGAATGTTTCATTCTGTTGTCCCTGATAAAGGTTGATAACTTGAAAGTGAATTGGAAAGAATTCTTGGAAAGCAACGGCACTTTAGACGTCACTTGTATCTAGCGTGAAACAGTCGCTACAGTGATGGTGGACTGCTTTCTGATCGAGGGCAATCACATAGTGTCGTGCTGTTCATGAACAGTAACTGTCTGCTCTTAACTGCTCTCTGAGTTCTGCCCTAGTGATTGTATATGATGTGAATATGCGTTCTGTTTTACCCGGAATCTTACTTTACTACACATTCTGCAGAAGTTAACTTTGATCTGGGCATCCCTGTAGAGATAATTACTCGCGTTGATTTTGTAACGCCTTAATGTTTCCGTGTGATTTGACCCATTTAACTCGAAGCGACTTCACTTCGTAATCAGTTTAAACCGACTTTTTATTTTGCAAAAGCTTATGCTACTTCTACCGCTTTTCGCTTTGTAACTCGTATTGTTTCCTAGAATTTCATGTTCAGTACACTTTAAGTGTTTTATACGCATCTGATCCAGCATCCATAAGGTTTCCTTCTTCACTTTGTGAAAAACTACTTCGTACTTTAATAATATGATAAATAGGAGTACATCGTGAAATTTCTTATGCCACACTGCTTCACAAATTCCATAGAGATTCATTTCTGTCGTTGATTTTCATAATTGTTTAATGAATTGTTTTTTGATTGTTATGATTTGTGATTGTCGTCGATTTCGGAAATCGGGGTACTTGAGGCAAAACTGCAGTTGTGTTCGACAGCCTGCTCAGGTATAGTGCGATGCATAAGTAGGTTGAGTAAAAAGTTTTGATCGGCTTTTCAATCTTCACTTTCAAA